TCCATGTGGCCAGCATCAACCTGATTCCAAAACCAGGCAAAAACCATATGATCATCTCAATGAATGCAGAAATAGCTTTTGACAAAATTCAACATCCATTTATGTTTTACCATAAATGGATGGGTATGGAGGGAACATACCTCAACATAATAAAGGCCATATATGATAAGCCCACAGCTCACATCATACTCAACAGTGAAAAACTGAAAGCACTTCCTCTAAGATCAGGAACAAGACAAAGATGTCCACTCTCCCAGTTTTATTCAACATAGTATTGGAAGTCGTAACCACAGCAATCAGACCAAAAAAATGAAATAAAAAGAATACAAACTGGAAAGGAAGAAGGAAAACTGTCACTGTTGGCAGATGACATGATACTATACTTAGAAAATCCTCCTGCAGTATAAAAAAACAAACAAACAAAAAAACAACTACTACTAAACTTTCTTTGGGTTATTTGTATGGAAATATGTTAATATAAATGTTTCAGGCATTACATGAAAAAAAAAAGAAAGAAAATCCTAAAGACAGCACCAAAATTACTCATCAATGAATTTGGTAAAGTCAAAGGGTACAGAATTAATATACAGAAATTTGTTGCATTTCTATACACTAACAACAAACTATAAGAGAGGAATTAAGTATACAATCCCATTTACCATCACATCAAAAAGAATAAAATACCTAGGAATAAATCTAACTAAGGAGGGAAAATACCTGTACATGGAAAACTATAAGACACTGATGAAAGAAACTGGAGACAACACAAACAAACGGAAACAGATACTGTGTTCATAGACAGGACTAACATTGTTAGAATGACCATACTACTCAAGGCAATCTACAGATTCAGTGCAATCCATATCAAAATACTAATGGCATATTTCACAAAACTAGAACAAATAATTCTAAAATTTGTATGGAAACACAAAAGACCCCAAATAGTGAAATCAATCTTGAGAAAGAAGAATAGTGCTATAGGTATCATGTGCCCAGACTTCAGACTGTACTACAAAGCTAGCCATCAAAACAGTATGGTACTGACACAAAAACAGACACATATATCAAGAGAACAGAATAGTGAGCCCAGAAATAAACCCACACACTTATGGTCAATTACGCTACAACAAAGGAAGCAAGAATATACAGTGGAGAAAAGACACACTCTTCAATGAATGGTACTGGGAAAACTGGACAGCTACATGTAAAAGAATGAAATTAGAACATTTTCTCACACCAGTTACAAAAATAAACTCAAACTGGATTAAGGACCTAAATGTAAGACCAGAAACCATAAAATTCCTAGAGGAAAACATAGGCAAAATACTCTGACATAAATTGTAGCGATATTTTTTTGGTTCTGTCTCCTCAGGCAAAAGAAACAAAAGCAAAAATAAACAGATGGATCTAATTAATCTTAAAAGCTTCTGCACAGCAAAAGAAACCATAAACACAATGAAAAGACAGCCTACTGATTGGGAGAAAATATTTGCAAATGATACGACCGATAAGAGGTTAATATACAAAAATATATAAACAGCTCATACAACTCAATACAGAAAAAACAAACAACCCAATCAAAAAATGGGGAGGAGGGCTTCCCTGGTGGCACAGTGGTTGAGAGTCCACCTGCCGATGCAGGAGACACGGGTTCGTGCCCCAGTCCAGGAAGATCCCACATGCCGCGAAGCGGCTGGGCCTGTGAGCCATGGCCGCTGAGCCTGCGTGTCCGGAGCCTGTGCTCTGCAATGGGAGAGGCCACAACAGTGAGAGGCCTGCGTACCGCAAAAAAAAAAAAAAAAAAAAAATGGGGAGGAGACCTGAATAGACATTTTTCGAAATAAGACATACAGATGACCAACAGGCATATGAAAATATACTCAATGTTGTTGATCATCAGGGATGCAAATCAAAACCACAATGAGGTATCACCTCACATCTGTCAGAATGACTATATTCAAAACGACCACAAAGAGTAACTGTTAGCAAGGATGTGGAGAAAAAGGGAACCCACCTACAGTGTTGGTGGTAATGTAAATTGATGCGGCCACTATAGAAAACAGGATGGAGGTGCCTCAAAAAAAAAAACTAAAAATAGAACTATAAGACCTGGCAATTCCACTCCTGGGTATATATCCAAAGAAAATAAAAACACTAATTTGAAAAGATACATGCACTCCAATGTTCACTGCAGCATTATTTACAAGAGCAAAGATGTGGAAGCAACCTAAGTGTCAATCAACAGATGAATGGATAAAGAAGATGTGGTATATATATATATTTATATATATATATATATATGCAATGGAATATTAATTTCCCATAAAAGTATGAAATTTTGCCATTTGCAACACATGGGTGGACTTGGGGGGTATTATGCTTAGTGAAATAAGTCAGAGAAAGACAAATACTCTATATGTTATCATTTATATGTGTAGTCTAAAAAATGAAACAAATGGATGAATATAACAGAACAGAAACAGACTCACAGATATAGAGAACTATTGGTTACTTGTGGGGAGAGGGAAGGAGCAAAGTGCAACATAGGGACAGCAGATTAAGAAGTACAAAGGACTATGTATAAAATAAATAAGCTACAAGGCTATACTGTAGAGCACAGGGAATATAGCCAATATTCTATAATAACTTTCAGTGGAGTATAATCCATAAAATTTTGAATCACTATATTGTACGCCTGAAACTAATATTGTAGATCAACTATACCTCAATAAAAATAGATAAATAATAAATTAAATTAAATATTTTTTTAAAAAAATAAACCTACTTAGAACTCAAAGTCTCCTCTTCCCATAGGCACAAAATCCTCTGAGTGAAACAAAGCAACCACAATCACAAATATGGCTTGGTAAGTTCAGACTGGAGGGGAACACCCAAACGCATGACAATGACAATTCCTCAAATACAATTAGGAGCTATCAAGAACCTGCAGAATCCGGTATCCTGTTGGCATCTCTGGTATGCTAAACCCACAAACCAAAAAATATTTCAACATGCCTCTATTTCAGAAAGAAGATCCTTCTCCACAAAACACTGCATCACCAGACAGCTTCAGAGAAAGGTATACAGTGAGAGGGAGAGAGAGAGAGAGCAGGGGGTGAGAGAGTAAGATGAGGGAAAGCGGGTGGGAGAGAGGGGAAGAGAGAATGGGGGAGCACTTCTAGAATTCACCCGTGCAAGCTGTTGAGATGAAGGAACACGGTTTTGAGGTTCAGCTAGAACTAATTTCTTTAGGTTTTGCAAAAGTTCAACTCTCCAGCACTTCAATTCCAACTCTTAGTATTTCCCCTTAAAAATAACAATGAGAGGGCTTCCCCGGTGGCGCAGTGGTTGAGAGTCCGCCTGCCGATGCAGGGCACGAGGGTTCGTGCCTGGGTCCGGGAAGATCCCACATGCTGCAGAGCGGCTGGGCCCGTGAGCCATGGCCGCTGAGCCTGCGCGTCCGGAGCCTGTGCTCCGCAACGGGAAAGGCCGCAACAGTGAGAGGCCCGCGTACCGCTAAAACAAAAATAAATAACAATGAGAGGGGAAGGGTGGAGAGGCCTTTCCAATTAGATCTATGAAATGAACTAGAACTTATATCTGGAAAGTTTTCTGATAAATGGAAAATGGCTTGGACCTGAGATAACTTACGCACTCTCACGTGTGGCATCCATTACAGGAGAAAGACTTCAAATGCGTGGTTGCAGCAATCAAGGCCACAAACAAAAGACATTCAAGAGAACAGCAGTTGGAGCAAAAGGTCTCAGTGATACATACCTTAGTTCCTAAACGGCGACACCCCCAGGAGGTGGTGACCCTCTCCTCGAATGCACTGTCCTCCCAGAGTTTAGAAGGCAGACAAATTCTTACGCTGCCATCATACTCTGAACTCCTTTCCGAAGAACGTAGGGTCATTTACGGGAAGAGTTACAAAGCCTGGGCTCTCCCATTTCTTGAACCGAGCTCAGCTTCAGAAGACCACCGCGGCATCCGCAGACAGGAAGCAGGGTCAGGCTCCAAGTGTCTCTGAACAACATCTCTTTCTCCGGTTTAAGCGTCCCAGAAAGGCTATTCCCCTAGCGTCTACCCCCTGACTCTCATTAAATACTCTTTTCTCTGGTTGGTGTAGATAAAGAGTTTGATCAGGGAAACCTGATCAAGACTGCAGTTCCCTGCAGAGCTGATGAGCACTTATTCAAAGCACGTGGGGAAGGAACTCTGTGCTCTGCATTCTCAGCTTGGTTAAGAGCCTCACCCAGCAAAATGGCCTTCTTACTTTATGGCCTTGCCTCATTTTTGACCCAAAACTTTTGTTCATATCATTAACTGAACTTGGCTTCAAATCACCTCTTAGTGAAGGCCAGCATTCATTATTACACCTTAATTCTTTTTAATGCACCAAAATAGATGAAATAATTCAAACTGCAAGTACCATGTCAGCCATCTCACCTGTTCCTCGTTGAACAGACAGGTTCACCTGATAACCCTTCTTACTTGGATTTCTCACTCAATTCCCTTTCCCCCAAGAGGTCAACAGGGCAAAAGAAAGATGACCTGACGGACTTGAAGGGGAGTCAGGAAAGGGACATTTTAACACTCAGCTGGGCCAAACTTTCCTGTGGTTGGATTCTCCTAAACAGAAGAAGGGGTGCTTATGTCAATCTCCTTTTGCCCTGGAAAGTCCTCTTAAGTAAATTCAAAATTCTAAGCAACAATCAGAAGACACATGGCTGAGATCTTCATGCATGAATCTTTCCCTTCCTTCGCCTGCTTTTGCGACTGCACAGCTCAGAACTCGTAGTGAGGTTGCCTCTAAGGCTCCTGGAAAGACTGTGAAGGTGGGAGAGGAGGCCGCAGCTCCGAGACCAGCAGCTGGACAGCCTCCTCTCCCTGGAGTCCTGCTTGGGTTCATCTGACCCTTCCAGCTCTGTGCTCTCTCAGTGCCTCTTCCCACAGGTATGGCTTTCTCTCACTCACACAAAGAACATTGAAACACTTACCTAGAGAAGACCAGGAAGGAGCCTGCCAGATGTCATTCAACTGCCAATAAAGCGCCCCCATGGTGTGCCCTTCTCCATGCACTACCTCGCTGCGACTGCGGCGGTAGAATTCAGTTTCTGTTTTGACACACTGGGCCTGCATCACCTGATTCAGGGGAAAACATTACAACACAGGTGTTTTTCAAATGAACTTATCTGCAAAACAGAAACAGACTCACAGATATAGAGAACAGACTTGTGGTTGCCAAGGGGCAGGGGGCGGGTTGAACCGGGAGTTTGGGACTAGCAAATGCAAACTACTATATATAGAATAAACAACAAGGCCCTACTGTATAGCACAGGGAACTATATTCTGTGTCCTGTAATAAACCATAATGGAAAATATGAAAAAGAATATATATATATGTATAACTGAATCATGTTGCTGTACACCAGAAACTTACAACATTGTAAATCAACTACACTTCAACCTTAAAAAAACGATTATTCAAAAAAAGCAGCTCAGTCCATTGCAAGATTTAAAAAAAACACAGGTGTTTTTGCTTGAGGTAGGCTGTCTAGATCTGAGAAAATTATAGGCTTGAATAAATTTGGGAATTTCACTACCATTATATATACCATCATTATACTAGATCTGGAACCAACACCTTAATATGAGAAGCTGTTGTCTATAGCAGCTGGGTTTGGGGAGAAGCTTGGTATTGGGCTTAACAATGGGTAATCAGGTAATCGTGGAAACAGGATGGTGTAAAAGGTTCTTTGCCAACGATAGTGGAGGCAATGATGGAAAACAAAGACTGTGATTCCAGAGCAAATGCTATATGCAGTCAAACACTAAGTTTTGGGCAGTGATGGGTTTTACTAACACTTTCGTGGCTATTAAGAAAATAGTTTATTAGAAAAAAGTTCTATAGAAAAAGAACTATATTATGACTCTGATATTGTCAAATCCCTAACCCCTTTCTTCTAGTCAAGCAATTGTTTTTTATATGATGCCTTTTGATAATGTAAAACTTCTTATGAATGCAATTCCTTCGTTATAGCAGAACAGATGGTAAACTGCAACAAAGAGACAAGTAAATTTAGTTCTTATTTAAGAGGCATGAAAAAACTTCATGCAAGACCCTTAATTACTTAATTACCAAGGAGAACCTGGAGAGGCAGTCAGAGCTGCAAGGATTCCCCAGTCAGAGGAAGGAACGGCCTTAGAGTAGGGTCTGGATTTTCACAGAGGAGGAAAAAGAGGGATGCATATATGGCCACTAGAAGACCAAGTTCAGATGCCTTCCTAAAACACTAGAAAAACTCCAATGAAGCGAGACCTTTAGATAGAGGAGAGCTCGCTAGTGAGAAAGTCGCAGATGAAGTTACAACTTACATGAGGCACAGCTGTCAAACTCCAGAAGGGCAAAGCGAGAAGAAATCACGGCCGTTCAATAAAAATTTAATAAACACTTACAGTGTGTGTTGCATGCTGGTAATGGTAAGCCCCACCCCCAGCAAAAGAGAGACAGCCCACCCTTGTGGAGCATATTGGCTTGTGTAGAAGACAGGCCTTAACCAAAGAATCACACAAATATATGGAAACTTTAAACAGTAATGAGGGCTAAGGAAGAGAGGTGTGTGATGTTAGGAGCCTGGATAGGAGGGGAAATGGGTCTAGCTGAGGAGGGAGATTGGCCTCGAAGTACGGGAAAGAGAAAAAGAGAGAGGGCAGAACGCTGCAGCCAGAGAGGACACATGTGGTGAAAGGAGAATGCACAGCAAAGAACTGAAAGAAGGCCAAGGCAGCCTGAACTCAGAAAGCTGGGAGCAATGGCAGCAAGGCTGGTGGGGATGCAGAGGCCAGACCTGGGAAGGTTTGGGATGTATCCTAAAGGCAACTGGAAGTCACAGGAAGCTTTTAAGCTAAAGGGTGAAGTGACCAGACTTGCATTTGCAACAGGCGCCTCTGATCACTGAAAGGAGTCAGGGGACTAGAGGGCATTCGGGGAGACCATTTAGAAATCTATTATAATCTTCTAGGCAAGAGATGATGTTAGCTGTGAGCAGGTAAAGAAATGCCCTTTCCATTCAGGAACCAGACCACTGGGAGCACAGCCGTGATAACAGGCAGATAACACTCTAAAGAAAGTAAGAATCTCACGAACAGAGTGGCAAGGGTGCCAAGCTCAAAATGACCACAGGATACTCTCTGAATATATTAGTCTAGCACTAAGTCAAGGAGTGAAATACGAAAAATAGGCCTAAGATCTATGATCTTTAACAGTCAAGTTAATCTGCAGTTATGAGATAGGCTGGGACCTGGGACCCCTTACCAGAGTGCTTGCACCTGGACAAACGTCTCCTCAAGCAACAGAACGCAAAGAAACTATACAGGACTAAAACCAACTGCACACACGCACAGTGGGAGCAAATTATGAACAATAAGATACAAAAAGGCCACAAACCAACTGCCATTTCTGAGGTGTCGGAAGCAAAAGCAGGGTACTGTGCGTGATTCCTGCACGCAGCACCACCAAGGGGCGTGCAGACCACCTAAACTACACCTCCCAGCCAAGCCAGCAGTCCACCTCCAGCCTCACCCCCTTTAAGGAGCCAGGGAACCAACGGCACCTGTTACTTGTTTTCGCTCCCTCATGCTGCAGCACAAGTCCTGATAAAGTCTTGCCTGAAGTTCTCCTCTGGCCTCTTATCAATTTCTATGGATTAAGAGTCCAAGGACCCGGGTGAGTAACAATTAGACTCAGGATCTCTAATCAAGTTCCTTCTAAAAACACCAATCTCGTCTGAACTAAAGAAAAAAGAGATTTATCAACTTCTAGGCCTGGATACCTAGGCATAGAGAAATCAAGTCCCTTGATTAAGCGTTCACATGTTTGTCGAGTTATTGTGCAAAATCAGTGTTGTGGAGCGATTTCTAGAAAGTTCAGTGAACATAAAGCAGCCAATTGAAATCTTAGTAGAAACAGATCTGAGGGTAGCACCAATTATCAACGCATCCGCATTAGAGATTTAACCTCACATCAGCATGGGAAGTAACCTTTGTATTTGTTTTTAAAATTTGATAATATCTGAACTTATTTAAATCACCTCAGCCCCCAAATAACGTCCCCACCAACCAAGCTAAAATTGGCCCATGGGCACAAAATCAAGCCAGCCACAGTCCCTACCCTGCAGCACACACACCCGAGGCACTGAACAACAAGAAGTCTCTGTTCTCATCCTGAGATTCCTGAAAAATCGGCTAAGGCTTTATGGACGGTGTGTAAAGGGATCGCAGGAGGAGAAGATGAGGAAGCCCTCATCACACCAATAAGGAACACACGGGGAGAGGTATTCTGATCACCAGACACTCCAGAGGTGCTAGCCCAGCCCTGACAGGCCAAGCACGGGCATCAAATGGCGACCACCATGGACACTCCACTTTGGGTGTCGGCCAACAATTCTGGAACTTCCAGGATCTGAAGTATCTCCAAAGCCTGGGCCATTCCTGATACACCAAGGAAGCCAAAGGACCTGCAATATTCTGCTATTGGTTGGTTCAGCGTGGACCCACGAGTAGAATGGAGGGAGGGGCGTCACTCAAGAAGTTTGGGACTGGAATCTGTTTCCTTGGATCCAGATTTATAAAACAGGGTGAATAGGAGAAAAGTACAAATCGGAATTTTGAGGTGGGGAACAAAACACCAGTGTATACCAGAGTAGGAAATTAAGTCATCTCTTTCAGGCAAAAATAAAAACTTCTAGGACAAAGCCATATCTATTGAAACAGTCATGCTTGTACTCAGTTGGATCTAATCCAAAGGACAATTAGATATTTTACTGATGGGCTTGGTAGAGGTGACCTGCATTTTCTTCACGGTGAATTTAAGCTTCTTTTCAGGGGGAAAACGTCTGATGAGTGGCAAATTTTTTACAACGCTCCAAATTCCTGCCTGATCTTTGTTAACATATACTGTAACTCATATATGTTTATAATTTTGTATTCTACTCTGACTTAATTTTCACATGTGTACATTTCCATGTGATGCCCTGGCATTTTCTATATATCTCTGTGCTCTAAATGGTTCCACAGTTATACCATAGTTTGATGAATCATTCTCCAATAATTTTTCGGCATTTGAATGGTTTGCAGATTTTTTCTTTAAATACAAGAGCAAAGAACATTTTATGTCCAAATTAATTTCTTTGCCTCTTCTGTTGTCTCTTTTGATAATATATGACACATTTTAAAGTCCTTGTTGCATGTTGCTATATTAGGTTCCAGTCAAGAGGCTGCCATAAACTGCTAGCCTCCAGGCAGAACTCAGCCCCACGCAGGTTTTAATTGGCTCACAGAGCGGGAGCTTTTTGTTTCTTCTTGTTGTCATTTAATGTCTTAAGTCAGGGCCTGTATGCTCCATTTTGCCACAATCCCCAATATTCAGACTCTCATCCATTTAAATTACCTGCCTGATCCCTACAAACATTTGAGTTTTCAGTCCCTGAACTATTTCAATTCTCAGAACTACCTGCAAAAAATATTTAAAATATTTATTTCCGTATATCTATTCTGACAATTTCCCAGCTGTAATTTTTTTTTTTTTTTTTTTGTGGTACGCGGGCCTCTCACTGCTGTGGCCTCTCCCGTTGCGGAGCACAGGCTCCGGACGCGCAGGTTCAGCGGCCATGGCTCACGGGCCTAGCTGCTCCGCGGCATGTGGGATCCTCCCGGACCGGGGCACGAACCCGCGTCCCCTACATCGGCAGGCAGATTCTCAAGCACTGCGCCACCAGGGAAGCCCTCCTAGCTCTAATTTGCCTTTTCTGGTTTAACAGGTAAATATTAGCAATCCTTTTAAACTTAAAAAAATTTTTAAGGCAAGCAGGACTCCTAAGCCTTGCTAGGAATGAAAGGAAAAGAGCACTAGGCAAGCTCTAACTAGTAGCCTATCACACCTGAATTTAGTGTGAAAGTGATAAGCAAGGCTCTTCAGTGCTCCGGGTTCTGGCACGTGCACCACGCAGTACCCTCCACAGGCAGATGGTGCCACGCCTATAACATGGATCTGGGTTTATCCAAACCAGTGGGTGCTAGTTAGGGCTAATGAATGACACCTCTGTTCATAAAAATGCAGAAGCCCACTATCCATCTTAAAGGGA